CTGTGCCTGGGGCCACAGCAGCTCACCCACATCTCCCCGGGAGCAGGGGAGCACATCCGCAGCTCACCCAGGCACTGTGCCTGGGGCCACAGCAGCTCACCCACATCTCCCCGGGAGCAGGGGAGCACATCTGCAGCTCACCCAGGCAGCTCCTCCGTGCCTGGGGCCACAACGGCTCCCCACAACATATCAATTATATATATCAATTATTATATATAAGAGATTTTTAAAGTACAAGAACAATAATTTTGATTTATAAGGTATGTACAGTTGTTGAATAATCTGTGATTTATCACTATAAAAACTTTTTGGTAATTTCTTATTTGACTTAGTATTTTCTGTTTGTTTGGGAAGGCCTTGGCAGTACTCCTATTAATGATAAATTACATAAAAGAATAAAATCATGGGATTTTTACTGCTTTTTTGGAAGGGTATGATTCTCCTTTCGGGTGGTGCTTAGAGCCAGGCTGAGGAAACCAGCAGTCTTTTGGCCCTTTTCTGTGCTGAACCACTTGTATCCAGCACAGAAGGAAGCAAATTAGTTGCTGGTAGGTCTGGAATCAGATAAAGGTTACGCAGTCATGGGCACATCCTGTGCGTGAGGCTCAGACAATCTCCTCGATTTTTGTCTTTAACAAGTTTTATCTTTGGGTGGTTGAACTCTAATCATCAAGATCACATGAATCAGGTAGAAAAATTGGTGCCATAGTAAATGTCAAGAGATTTTAAAACGTAGAGATTAAGAAGCCACAAAACGAATAGTACTAGTATTTTTACTAGAAAATAAATTGAGCACTTGGTCACGTACCCAGTTGAAATAAATGGAGGGGCTTCTTTTGTTTCCAAATTCAGGTAAAAAAGCAGAGGAAGCCAAGTAAACCAGACTAATTTCTGAGACCACCATAAATTGTGGTGGCTGAGAAGCAAATGGCTCTTTATTTAAGGCTTCATTATTTTAACTTTATCCATGTGCTTTCTAGAAATCTTAAACTAAGTATTAAAAATTAACTATAATCTGACAGCTAGATTTCATAAGCTGTATTTCAAATATGAATAAATATTATTTCTCTTTCTTTCAGATAAATAAACTGACATTAATTAAGTAAATAAACCTCCAAGCTCTTTAGAATAAGGCATTTGCACATGAAACTCAGTTTAGGAAACTAATGTGTAATTTCCTATTACTGTTTCATTTTATTTTATGAATGCTATATTTATTTTATTTATTTTACATTTATTTCATATTATATCTATTTCATTTTATTTTATTGCTGTTTTATTGTAATTATGTCATCAGTAATACAGTGCTACGCCTTTTATCAGAGAATAATAGAATAACACTCATTTGGGTATGAAAATGGATTTTATAGTCATCTAGTCTTTCTTAGAAATCTACAAAATATTGTTTTATACAATAATGCTGAATTTATGCTCATCTAGACTATAATTAAAGAAATATGCCTTTCAAAGGCATAAAACCTTTAGATCTTGTCTACTACAAACAAATAAGCAAAAAACAAACCAAAACTTATTTGTTGTTAAAGAATTCTACTTCTGAGGAGGAGAAGCACTCATACAAGTATTTTTCCCCCCAAATATTGTGTCTTTAAGATAAAAATCCTAAATATCCAGGCATTATAGAATGTAAGAATGCATGTCAGATTAATTTCCAGAAACTGGTTACAGAATTAGGACGAGGACCTGTGTATTTATAAGTGATGTCTGACTTTTGGGCTCCACAGATAGAGGTAAATATATGGCAGCTTCTGAGTAGTTGGTGACCTAAAGCACTTGTCTTTATTTTCTTTGCCTTCCAGTTTTTGGTATAAGCATTTCAGCCAGTGAAGAAGAGAAGTTCTGTGACATTGCTATCTCACTCACTCTTTTGTTTCTCTTATTTTATTTTATTTTATTATTTTTTTTTTATTTTTTCCATCATCATGTATCTCACCTATACCCTCTTCCACCTCCATCCCCCCTAGCAATAACCACACTGTTGTCTGTGTCCATGAGTTCTTTTTCAAAAAATTTACTGTATTTTATTTTATTTTTTCCATTACCATTTATCCCCTCTATGTCCTTTTGCACCCCCCTCTCGACTGCAGTCACCACACTTTGCCCATGTCCATGAGTTATCTCTCTTCTTTTTCTTTTTTGCTCAATTCCTCCACCCCCCCTCCACCCTTTAACAACCCCCACCAGAGCTGTCTGCCTGCTGTCTATCTATGAGTCTGTCTCTATTTTGCTTGTTAGTCCAGTTTGTTCATTAAACTCCACATTTGAGTGAAATCATGGTACTTGTCTTTGTCTGCCTGGCTTATTTCACTTAGCATAATGTTCTCCAGGTCCATCCATGCTGTGCCAATTGTTGTTGTTTTTAATATATCTTTATTGATTTCAGAGAGAGGAAGGGAGAGGGAGAGAGAGAGACAGAAACTTCAATGATGAGAGAGTCATTGATCAGCTGCCTCCTGTACGCCCCCGACTGGGGATCAAGCCCGCAACCCGGGCATGTGCCCTGAGCGGGAATCGAACCCCGATCGCCTGGATCCTAGGTCGAGGCTCAACCTCTGAGCCACGCCCAGCCCAGGGACACTTGGTCTTTACAGAACCCATAAATAAACGTACTCTTCCTTAAGGATGTAACTGAAGATTTTTAAACATTTTAATTCTTGATATTCATCCCCCCC